ATATGCAGTGGTTCAAAACGGAGAGAAAGCTCCTTGTTCTGGGGGTAGGTTGTAATTTCTCAAAGCACTGAAGCCAACTAGACAAACGTATTTGGGGGATTGGACTGAGTAGGCCAGGCAAGCCTTTTTTCCTTTGCTTCTCTGTTAAAAGCCTCATAGATGGACTCTTTGGTGACCGTTTTGGCCGGAGCTGTGATTTCTGCGATGCCAACGTGATTTCTTTTGGCTATCCTGGAACTGGTGGTGATGGTGTACGCGTTGCTCCTGTAGCCTTTCATGGCGGACATGCAGAAAGTTTCTTTCACCCCTCTTCTGAAGTTTGCGTTATAGACGGAGTAGAGGGTTGGCTTAGAGGCTGCAGAACTGAAAGAGATCCAGGTGATGGCCAGGAAAAGCAGGGAGCTCTTTCTGTAGTCTGTTTCCTGCGGGTGCCAGAGCTGCACCACGTGAAAAGGGAGCCAGGACAGGAGAAACACCGAGTTTAACATTAAGAACATCTTGATGGTTTTCACTTTTGTTCTTGGGACGATATTCACTGTCCTCCTGACGGTCCTGCCATCGGTGCCTGTTCTCCAAATGTGCTCGACGACCTTCTGGTAGAAGAGCATAATGAGGACGGATGGGAGCAGAACCACCACCAAGAGGTGGATGATTCCGTAGGCGGCTCCTTCCCGAGAATCGGGGAGAAAAAAGTTGCAGTGGTCGTCGCTGTTGGAGCCATAGAAAAAGAAAGCCGGTGATGCAAGTACAGCGTCAAATAGCCAAGAGGCCAGAATCATTTTCTTGGCTTTCTCCCGCGACACCTTGAAGCTCAGGGGGTAGACGATAGTGTAGAATCGATCCACGCATACAGAGAGGAGCACGTATATCTGGACGCCAGGGGTGAGGTACTGTATGTACCTTACCAGCTTGCACATCACGTTCCCCAGCGTCCACCTGCCGAAGGTCAACTGGAGCAGCACGAAGGGCGCGCTTGCGACACTGGCGAGGAGGTCTGCACAAGCCATGGAGACCACAAAATAGTTGGTGGTGGATTGCATCCTCCTGCTCCTGTGGATCACTAAGCAAACGAGGGAGTTTCCAAAGACGGAAACCAGCCACAACGCTCCCCAAACCGTGCTGGCTGCTGCCATTTCCCCCGGCCTCAGCTCATAGTGCGAGCCAGTGTGGTTCCTGCTTGAGCTGGGTCCCAGGGGTGACCCCGCCACCTCGTAGCCGGCAGGAGGGATGGAGGTTTCGGGGTAGCTCTTGTTCTGCAGCAGGAGCAATAAGGTGGGGAGAACAAAAGGACCGCTGCTGTTATCCATGCTGTGGGCAAACGTGGCCACGTCTTTTGCTCAGGCTGCATGAAGGGAGAAGAGAAAAGGTTCTATTTAACAAGCGCGTGTGAAAAACCTGCCTTGACCAGCGAAAGATAATTCTCGGTAGTATACGTACTACTTGAAGCGGCAGATTTCAGAGAAACGGTCAGAAATCTGCGGTGAGAGTAGCTGGTACAGCAGAGGCCGTTAAGCCTCATGCCGATTTTTATTACTGGCCTGACTATTTTAGGACAGGCATTTCTGTCCTCTGACAGACAAGTGTCCCTTTCACAGGTAGAGGCTGAGGTGCAGGTTCACCAGCGCTGGTGACCTGCAGGCTGGGTGAGCGCAATATGCCCCACTGATCCCAGACAGGAGCTGCACTTCCCGGTGTCCGTGGAAGTTGCAAAAAAGCAGACCAGCAGTGTCCCCGCTCACTTGGCTTGCCATGAATCCATCAAGTCGACAGACAAAGGAGGTGTTTCTTACAGCGAGAGGTGGGCTGGGAAGCAACATTTCCCACCATCCTAGCGTCTTCATTGATGAGGGCCCTAGCAGCCAAAGCCTGCTCCCAGCCAATCGTTAGCAACATGGGTGTTAACAGCCCGAGTACCCCTGAGCCTCCTTGTTTCTGGGCGTAATTTTGGAAGGTCAGCGAGGTCTGGATTGGGAGGCAAAGGAAAGGTCAGCACAGCGGAAGGGCTGGCACCGAGCTGGGGGGGCGCTCCTCCCCGTGAATCCTCCTCAGCCCTTCCACAGTGAGGAAATGTTCCTCAAGAGCTGGACGTTGCGTACCTTAAAGAGCCTGTCCTGAACACCAACGCTGTCCCCGCACGTCCTTGCCTCCTTAGTCACCTGCCCCATCAAGGGCAGCGTTTCCCTCTGCCACCCGGCGAACAAGGTGGCACGACAAGCTCCCCCCCAAACCTGCAGAAGCGGCTTTTTTGCCAACGGCAGGGTCTTGATTGAGAAGGAAAACTCTGGGGGAGGAGGTAAATGCCCTCACGCAGCTGAGATGTGGGGGGAGCCTTTTGCTTTCCGGCAGCGGAGCCTCGGGTGGGTGGTGTGGCTTGCACGGTCGCTAGATGCGACTGCAGTCAGCTGTTGAGGCTCTCTATGCTGTGGAGAAAAGCCCGGGAGAGGGTCGATGTCCTTACCTTGCTCAGGGACCTCCCAAGCAGCAAGTCTGACTCCTCCCAGCTCACCCTGTCGAGCCCGGCTGTGGAGCGCAGCCCGTCCTCCACCGACCTGCAGGACCCAAGGGGCAACTGAAGGGTTGCCCTGAGCAACTGACACCAACACACACCACGGAACCTCTGGCGCCAGCTGTGCCACGGGGAGGCCCTTGCTCAGCTCTGGGGAGGGACCCAGTGGCCTTGTCCTGGCCTTGGGATGTGCCGACTTTCTGAGCTCAGGAGTCCTCTGTTGACAGGACCTGGGGGTTTGCAGGGCTGCGGGGGTTGCCAGAGGAGTCCAGCCCCTGTTCTTTTTAAACGTGAATGGCTCGGCTTACAGTCCCCCCTGTCTCCTTTTGCCATTCAAGTAGGTCCCCTTCTTTGCTTGCCAGACCCTTGCAGTCCTTCCTCCCTCTTGCCAGCCCCTGTACAGAGGTTGCCTCGCCTGGGCACTGATAAGCTAGCCTTCACGGCTCTGAGGCCGGGTAGCGAACGGCACCAAATCGGAGGGCACGAGGCAAAAAAAGAGGTTGGAACTGGGTTTAAAGGGGGTTATGGCTCTGTTAGCTGCCCAACAGCTCACTGTTACAGATGGGTAGTGGCTGAACTGGGGGGCCCTCAGCGTTTACCTCTCTAAAGCCGCACCGAGCAGTCATCCAACGTGGACTCTCCTTGCTGAGCACCCCACCAGCCCGAATGCTAACACAGTCAGTAATCGGTCTACTTTTCAGGCGGTGTTTTTCACCTGCCGGGACGCTCGAGTGACCTCTCTGTTTCTGAGCAAGCACGGAAATACAGCTTCTGGGATGAAACTGTAGCTGGTCCTTTCTGGTAGTTATGGTACACACCACGGTACGTGATAGCCGTGACCTCCTGTTTTAAGGCTGAGTGAGACAAGAAGGGGTATATTGCTAGGCAGTTTCCAAGCTTCGGTTTGGCCAGCTGTTTGGGTTGGTCCTAGCGTATCACAGGGATGACATGGAAGAATACTTAATATTGGTGCCTATGCATTTACAAACTCCGTGCCGGGGTCTGGTGTTCCAAAAAGTGTCCTTCCAATCACTGTGTTGACACGCAAAGCCTGTTGCTCATTAGAACTATGAAGCCTGTTTGTGTGGGTATAATGTGTGAATGCTTAACTCCAGAGCCTTGATACTGTGCAAGATGAACCAGGATGGAATCAATGACCAGCAGATCAAAATGCTCGCCCCAGAATCCCGGTGGACAAGTTCAAAAAGCACCACCATCCTCCCCAGCTTTCAAAGTGATCGAAATTCCCAGCTTTGCTTATTGAGATGCTTTTTGCTCGGCCTACTCTAGCTCTGCATCTATCACCAAATATTTTCTCCTGTCTGCCTACTCAGAGCAGAGCCTAAAAGCGCAAAGCCACTGGATGAATTTGGGATCTTGCTCCTTGCACTTTTTTGCATGTCATCTTCAATAACGCAATGCAAAAAAAATAATTAGATATGGAAGAAGCAAAGATGTATTAATTTCGTGATGTGGTTAGAGAAGGTTTTTGTCCTCTAGCTTTTTAGACCCTGTATTCATCAGCTGTGGTTAATACAACATTGCATTTTTCACATGAACAGGCTTGATGTACAATCAGTTGCACAGCACAGGCATAAGTTTAGCTTGAAAATGCAGAGTGTGTTTCAGAGCAGCACGGCACAGCTGCACGGACACAGGCAGTCTGCGTAGCCGCAGCTGGGCTGCCGCAGGACCCTGCTGCGCCTCTCCTCCTCACCTCGTGCTATGCCCGACAGCTGACTCTGCATCATTAGAAAGTGGGTCAATGCGTGAGTCACTAACGCTGCTCCCAAAGCAGCTGGCTTTGTTTAGCAGCTTTCGCATGCAGGTAGTGTCTGGGAGCGGAAAACACGACTCAGGTTTAAGTTGGACTCGTAGCTGAAGCAGTTTGAGGCTAGTAACAACTGGGTTTGTTTCAGTGGAGCGTGTTAAACAAGGAATTTTGCATGGCACCGTCCTGTCAAAATAACACTCAGAGACATCAGTAGTGAGACCCAGAAGTAGGTGTCATGGTGGTTGGGTTGCCAACCACCTGCAAGGGGCACTGTCTGCAGACCCTGCCCCTCATCCCGTCTTCTGCCGGAGGGCTGTGCAGTGCTGCCCAGCCTGGCCTTTGCTTTCCCCTCACCCTTAGCTGCCTGCCTTCTTTGTTTTCTTAGTAGCTTTGCCTGGCAGATGATTCCTGGTTTCTCAAACAATTCCTGTTTGCCTTTCCCCACCCTCTGTTGGGTGGATCTGTTCTCCTGGAGATATCCTGCCATCATCAGCTGTCTGCAGGGTATTTGGGCTGCTATCTCTGGCAGAGTGGCAGGATGCATTGACAGTACAGCCCACTAAATTACATGTTAGAATTACCTGTAATAGAATAATACATGTGGAGCCTATTAACGAGATAGAAAAGATTATTATGGGCTAATTTTCTTCCTTAATTTCCCTTCTTGCCATGCAGCAGTATGTGCCATTTAAAAATAGCCCGCTGCACAAATTAAGCTCAGTAGAAGAATAACCAGATGAAATTTCTTGACCGATATTGAGGAGTAGTGGAAGTCAGGTACAAGAATGAAATGACCTTCCTAAGCCTTTAAAATATGCAGACTTGCCAACACTGTTCTCATGATATTTCTCCTGGTGAGACAAATCTGCTATCTATGTCTTTTCAGACCTGAGACATTTAGTTATGCAGGTGGGTAAACCAAAAATAGTTACAGGGTTGTAGCACTCAAATAGTACTTTTTTCTGTTGCATTTTGCCTAGAAGTCAGCCCAACCGCTGTTTACTGGAGAACGCAGGTAACCTGCAAACATAGAATTGTAGAATCATTTAGGTTGGAAAAGACCCTTAAGATCATCGAGTCCAACTGTAAACCTAACACTGCCAAGTCCACCACTAAACCATGTCCCTAAGCGCCATGTCTACATGTTTTTAAATATGTCCAGGGATGGTAGAACAGAAGAGGCACCAAACACAGGTGCAAGTAATACTGTATTTTGTGATTCTTTCTTCACTGGAAAAATCCAAAGACATTCAGCACACTGCCCACAAGATCCAGGTGAAAATATAAGTGCAATAATAGGGACTTGAACTACCCTGAGCATAGGATTGCTCTGGTTGAACAGCAATTACTTGTTTTACTTTTTTTAAAAGTGAATGTTACCTGATTAACCAATGTGCTCTGAGATTCCTGCATTCCTAGTCACAGATAATTTTTCCTTCTAATGGACCAGAAGATGATCTTTAATATTAAAGGATCTCTATTCAACCCTATTTTTCCTAGGTGGCACTGAGATCAGAATCGTGCCTTGATTTAGCACTAAGAAGCTTAGTGTCTATGGCCCAGCATATCTTTTTCTTCTGTGGGTAAGTCTGTTTTTTATAGTGGAGACTTAAACTTCTGCATAATGAGTAATGCTCCTAATGGCAACATGAGTGTAAAAAGCTCAGCATACATACCACTCTGTATGGGTCTAGGATGCAAATAACTAGAGATTCTGTATCTTGCGACATTATGACTCTCCAATTCCCACGTCCCCGTTTGCTGCATCGTTTACTGAAATATGATTTAAGTGTTGCTGAACTGTTTAACTTGCAAATATTAGATCCATAAGAAAATAGTGATGAGCTCTTTAGCCTCCCTCTGCCTTGCAGGTCAATAAGCAGGTATTAGAAACACAAAAAGTAAAAATTACATATACCAAATACATGAGGCCTAATGACATTTTTATTTAACAAAAATGCTTTTGTTTGATTTTCCCTTTAAACCTATATAACACCGAGCTGAGTGAAAGGATACTTTCTAGTAATTGTGAGTCTCCATGGATGCAGCAGTGCC